ACAGATCCACTCCTGTGGAATTCTTGTCTTAAATTTAGATTTCTGTTTTAGGTGCATTAGCTATATACGAATCTACTAGAAGTGGTACTCATAGGTTTTAAAGACAACTCATGATCATTGATCCCTTCAGCATGAAACAGTCGTAAACATATTACACATACTATGGTATTTTTATCAAACTCAAATCACAGGGAATTTTCTCTCAAATTTAAGAGTCAAGGGGCCCATAACTTTGGATGGGGGAAAGGTGTCATATAGTAAACTAAATTGGGATTTTTGAAAATTTTTGAAAAATGTAAGAACATTTTAAATAAGATTGGGGCTGCCACAGAATTGCAGCCCCACAATTGCTCCAGAAAAAGTCCTGTTTCACCGTGCTTCACATCACTATGCATATACATAACAAATGTTATCTTAAAGTTCTAAAGCAGAATTTATTGTTCAATTAAATGCAAGCTTATCCCATCAATTCACTGACAATGTAAACAATACAAACCAACAATAGTTTGGCCTTGCCTTAGAAATATAATAATCCCTCAGAGAAGTGTAGTCTTGTGATTATTTGAACTTAAGAGTTGTTACCTCTTTAAAGGATCAGTCCTGTTAGTCAAGGTGAAAAGCCCTTCCTCGAGGCCTTAACTCACTTTCTACACTTCCACCTGTGTCAAAGAATCCTGTAGACTTCAGATAAAAGCCCTGTGTACCGTAATGTTGTAATACCTAGGCAGTGTGAGATATGAGACTTACTTGTAAACCTGATCGATTTTTGTCGGGTACATTAGAAAAACAGGCTCCATTGACTTAACTTTAAATGGATTTTCTTCATCGGATGGATTAAACCTGATATGTGTATTTACGGAGTACATAAGTCTATTCATTCGGTCATACTTTGCAACACAATGGGAAGGTTGTTTGGAATGGTGAGTGTCAACACACGGTTGAATATTGCATGTACATGTTATGAATAAAACAGGGAATGTTTTGTGCCTCAGGATCAGTGAAAATATTAGGCATTGCAAAATGTATTGATCTTTTATTTTCGGAATGGAGGCATATTCTTCACAGAAATTGATGTTATAATAGTCCAGGTACATAATATTGTGTGTGCGTAATTTAGAGTTAACTTCAAACTCGTACAGGATAACTGAATATTATAAAAGGTTTGAGAAATTGGAATATTCTGTTGGATGGATTAATTCTCCTATAAGCAGTTAGCAGATCAGAGAAGGTGATTGATTGGTTGATAAGTCATATAAAACAGGTAAATGTGTGTAAAGTATGGAATTCTTTTTATTTCTTTTTTTTAATTTCTGTTTTTAAGGAAAGGAAACAAAAAATATCAATAGTAACAGGTACAGGCTATTTTTTGCTTTGTAGTCTAGGGGACTAAAGATTCCTAGAATAGTTTGTATACATTTTACCTGCATTAAATTAAGCCTTAATGTCACCCATTGTTAGAAGGAACACTTTCTATTGCTTTATTGAACTTGACAAAGTTAAGTTGAAACACAGAGGCCTTAATATGATACTGCAGCGGTGAATAAGTGAATGGCAAGTTATGTTTGACTGGGCCAAAGTGATCCGATATTACAGTAATAATCTGAGTAGCGTTTATACCTTTAATTTGTTATTTGCATGGGGGAACCCTTATATAGAAATCTGAATCAATTTATTGATAAGAGGGACTTGTAAACATAAGTAAGTCTTTGGCCTTTCTGTATACTGTAGTGAAATCTCTGGTATGTATAGCTAGTATAGCTAGGTTAGGGCACAAAGCTTTCAAACATTGAACTTTTGATTGACATATATACCTGTACTTGGCTACCTATATAGAAGAGTTTCGATAATCCAGTCACTTTCTGTCACCTTGATAAACTCGCTGATTTGAAAGACAGTTTGGTTTCTGAAACATTTTTGTATAGAAATAGCAATTATCCTGATAAATAGCAATAGCAATTTTTGGATACAACGTGGTTGTGATCGAATTAATGAAGCATTTTTGTACAAAAACAAAAAACTGTTCCGTGAAGCACTGACTAAACAGTCAGAGGGACAACTGTATTAGTGGTTGCATGGGTAGCAATAAAGACACCAAATTAGTGAGAATTATAATCAACGTTGCCTTTTTTTCATTTCATGTTTACTATATATGTTATAATCAAACTGATGTAACTAACGACTCACTTTCAAAGTGTAACGATGATGTCTTGTTGCCTGTCTTAATTATGTCATAATCATGATTTTTTGTGATAAGACATTTTATTACATGCATGGAGAAACAAGTGTATATAATAGTGTTACAGACAGTTTTCAATCATAATCAATTATACTACACAGTTCAATATTGCACCTGAGTATTTCAAAACTGTTTAAAAATTATTAAGCCTAGAAACCGGAACTCCTCTTCAAAGAAAAAATCAATATGTGGTAAATGTTTTATTGAAAATATAATATGGATATATAAAGAAAAGTTGTAAGTATATTATAAAAACACCACTTGACACCAGAGAACCCTCATATTTACACAGTCACTTTAAATATTTGCACATGCAGCAATTTATACTACATATGTCCACACATAATGTTATTCTTCAATAAAATAGCTGCATGTGCATGAACCAACTGTAATTTTAAAGGAGACCCTTCAATATCATTTTGACCAAATAACCCTCATTCAAGTCGAAGCTGTGACAAAAACACAAAATGAACATCCTTTGATGTATAATAAGATCCCCCAGTTACTGCAGTGTATGTAGTATAAGTTCTGTAAAAAATAAACTCTACCAGAAACAAAATGTTAGCGGCATAATCATTAATAGGTCTACACATGTTATTTAGCAGTTTCGATCTGGATTAGGTATTTGAAAAGTGTCATGATCATTTATGGCTATGAGAATGAGTGGCCGGAGAGATAATAAAATGGCTGACATATATGATAATGATATATACATTATTAGCGTTAGCACCTGTTGTCCGGGGGGTGGATATTTCACAGATAAAAATATAGCTAAGGTGCAATAGATGTTGTAACAAGCATAAATGTCCAATTTGAGTTTAATTTGACCAACGGATAGGGAGGGCCGACAGGTTGTAAGGGAAGATAGATAGAATGATAATGGTAAACGGTATAGTGTATATGTTTGATACGTATACCTAGTGATTTGCTGTAAAATAACAGCAGGGAACGACCAAGAGAGAAGGAATGACGAAGCCTGACAGACACCAAGAGGTGTAACGGACTGCATCAGAGCCGAGAGCGAAATGGAACCCAATTGTAGCTTAGATGAAATAAACTTGAACTCGACCAGGATTCGTCATTACCTCTTGTGATACAGTACTGGTTCTTATACATAAGAAAGGTGAAATAAATAAAGTTGATATGTTGCAGATGCATTTCATGCACTTTCCATTTTATTTGAAATGTTGAATAAAGAAAATCTTTGTTTTTATGTTAAGGTTTTAAATGTTGGCATAATTATGTCAGATAGAAACATGATATAAAATCATACATACAGTTGCACTATCAAATTAAAGATACACAGACTAAATAAATATGTTAAGTAGACTTGATATTGTGATTAAATCGTGTTCCTATAATCCTATTTAATCTTACTGACCTAGTCTATAGACATGGAAATCTTGGTAAGTAATTGGTATTTAAAACTTGTTAAACATTTAACTCAGAATTTTTAATCCCCTTAATAATTTAAGAGACAACCATTTAAAAAGATAAAAAGTGATAGGTTAAAGTTATGAAATACCTGCTAGATAGTTAAGTAATATTAAGGTCTATAATTATAAACATTTTGCCTGATGTCAGGTATGTAATGTACAGTAATCTGGTTCAATATGGCATTGTTTATTCTACTGTATTGTTAAAAGCTATATGCAGGGTCCCACCATGTAACAATTTTACAGAAAGAGCATAACAGAATTTGGGACTCAAATAAACATCTATCACTGAATATATTAGCTATAAACAATAGGTTTTGAATATAACCTGTATGGTTTGATGATTTTCTATCAAATTTGTTGGCTTCACAAATAGATCAGGATTACATTTTCTGTTTTCTAAAGTATAAAACAGATTGAGATGACATGTTAACATTACAATGTATGGTGTTCTTCTGATTTCTCTTCATTGTGGTTGGTTCATTTCTATCCCATTCGATTGTCTCCCCTAGTTACCTTTTCCTTTGATTAAAAGTTGCCTATACATTCATCTCATTATTACACAATATTCCTAACATTTCCAAGGTGTTGCTGTCCTGGACCTGTATAAATAAATCATACTGCTGGTATTCGCGTAAATGGTTCTTTGCTGAATTTTATGCCTCACAGTAAATTTGACAAATTGCAATCAATAGCACATGTTAAAATGTTCAAATTCTTAAATGGAATACAGATGTTTGATTGTATGACTACTGAAATATTCAGTGTCACAATTCTTAAAAATCACTTGATGAAGTCACATTTAATCTTGCTGTGGCCCAAATTTTAACGTACAAGTATATGCTAAGGTCTGCTTAAACTTTGGCTCTAAATGTATTAGTTCAGTTTTGACAGCCTTGACAACTGACAAATCGTTATCAACTTTAAAGCCACATTCCTGTGAACAGCTATTCTAAGGTTAATTTTTCCAAACCAAATGGCAAAATTATCATTTGGTACTGTATGGAAAATTCCATTATCTTTTTCAAAACACACACACTTTCTTGAGTTATCGATGAACACCTTTTTTTTAAATGATTGATATAGGCCCAGAATTTTTAAACTATTTCACATGTGTTGTACAAAATAAAAATAAAATCAGGAAAACTTGTTATCATTGTACATTACCGTCACTATACATGGTGTTACCTATATTGTGATGTGATGATTGGTGTTTTATTATGTTTCAAAATATGACAAAAATGGAAGTGATTTGATATAACCTGATCAGATAAATAAGATTTCCTTCTGTTTCTAACCAAATTTTTCTACTCTTACAACTTTTTCAGATCTAAATTGCACTTGGTTGATTTGGCTGGATCAGAGCGCGTCTCTAAGACAGGGGTCCAAGGTAATCTACTAGACGAGGCTCGGTCTATCAACTTGTCCCTTCATTTCCTGGAGACTGTTATCATTTCCCTCCAAGGAGAGTCCACACAGGGAAACAAACGTATTGGCAGTGCAGGACTCGCACGCAGGTAATAATACAGCCTCATATAAATTTCAGCAATTTCAAGAAAGGTCCCATGCAAGGGTTTTGTGAATTTTCATAACAAATTATCAAAAAGATTTGACTTTTCATCACATTCATAAAATAAAGGTTTTGCTTCTTTTTCATTTCATAAATTTGTTGTTATTTGTTTGGTGAGCTTTTTGTAATTTTGTAATTTGTTAGAAAGCATACATGTTTTGTGGTTTTTTTAAATGGGAAAAATGGAAATAATTTGAATTTTAAATTTAAATGAAATTTCGCCAGTACATGTTAATTATTCAAGTATTTTTTTTCTCTCTTAAATTTCAGTCAATCATTCAGACATAGTCGTCATGGCGCCCGACCAAGTTCTGCAGACCTGTCAACCCCGAAACATGTCCCCTACCGGAACTCGCTACTCACTATGGTCCTCAGGGACAGTTTGGGTAGGTATCCTTGGGGTAGGGGGAGATGATAGTCTCCGAGTAGGGGAGGCAATTTTCTGTGTATGTACCCAGGGGTTTGGAAGATAAAGAAGTCAGAGTATGTATCTCTAGGGTTGGGGACTAGTGGATAATCTGGGGAGAGAAGTATTCTTTGTAAATGGTAAGTACATGTAAGGTTATATGTCCCAAGGAATGGGGCAAGGGGAGATAATTTGTTGGGCATTTACCACTGACTTTTTAATAGCACAAATTTCCAACATTTGTTTAGTGTTAAAACTTACGGTTTACAAATTTTTATGTTAAAATAAAAATTGATATCTAATGATATACCAATTCAATAGTATTAATATTAATAATTTACATATTTTCAAATTCATTTGTACATTTTTTTATTTATAACTTCCTGGCTGTACAACAAATTGCCATTTTTCAAATATAAAGTTGCTAAAAAATATTGTATTTATAAATCATTATCCAATCCTGTAAAGGTCAATTTTATTCCAGTAATGATTTAAAAGAAATAATCCTATTCATCATAGAAATAGAGTTACTTTTCATTTTGAAAAAGCATCAGGTTTTCCTTAACCCTTTCACGACCGTAGACCATAATGGACTCATCCCTGAAAATGCATGGTAGAGTCTACTAAGTTACCTAGGGGTGAAAGGGTTTACTTGAGTGTGATTATAATGTTTTTTGTTTTTAGGAGGGAACTGTCTCACTGCTATGATAGCAACCACTTCACTGGAAATAGAGAACATTGGAGAGTCTATATCTACGTGTAGATTTGCCGGCCGCGTGGCCTGTATCGCTAACAGTGTCTCGTAAGTACTATCCCATTATATAACAGGGTAATGGATTAACAGTTAAAAAATAATGTAATGTCCATATCTCATCAATCAAACACAAATTTACAAAAGAAATTTCATTTTTTTTCTTTTTTCTTTTTAAAGTGGATTGATATGAAATAATTGGGGTAAAATTTAGCCAAAATCTCCATGAAATTTGCTTTTATTAGGTAAATACTGGACAAAATTGCTATTACTGACCATGAGGCTAAAAAAAAGGTTTAACTACTGCTGTACTTAAATTTTAAGCAGTGCTTAACTTTGGTGGATCATTGTTACTTATAGACAACTATGTGACCATGATATTTAGCCTGCTGCTGTTGACCTCTTTTAATTCATTCACCCTTTCATCAGGAGTAAAGTATGGTAAGCCCAGCACTAACTTATTATCATGTTGGAGAACGTAGACGGATGGTGTGTAACTGTACACACAGTAGACCTGACACAACCTCTATCTGTCTCTTCATTGTAACTAATATATCTGTACATCATTTTCTCCAAATGAACTGCTTCAGATGATTTACAGATTGATAGGGGACAGTTAATAAGGCATTTTGTTCAAAGTGAGAAAGAAAAGTTCTAGTGTAAATGACCAATTTTCTGCTCAATTTTTTTTCTCACTTTTTTATGTTAAAACAAAGATAGCTCCTCATTGCTTTGTTTTAAGAGGATATTGTATTTGGGATCACATCATTACATTGTAATACTGCTAACTTCTTATTTAAGGGATGCGGGAGGGGAAGAGCCAGGTTAACACGGGTGTTTGTACATGCAAGAAGTATGAAGAGTTACATGTTCATGTTGGAGGACATTTTTCAACCCTTCAAAATAGGGATTTTCAGGCTCGCATATATATCAGTGCTTTAATGTAGAGTTCCATCACTTTTTTACATATATACTGTAAGGCCCCAAAATATTTTCATACTTTTAGATATATGCTATATTCTCTACACCCACACATACAGGAACAATTACAGTTTGCAGGTTTTTTAGGTCACCTGAGCTTTAGCTCAAGTGACCTATTGCTATCCGTTTTCGTCCGTCGTCGTCCGTTAACATTTTACATTTCAAACTTAAAGTCAAGTTCTGCTGGGCCGATTGAACTGAAAGTTGGTAGGAATGATCGCCTCATGGTCCTGACAAAGTGTTGTTATTTTTCGGGTCGATCAGAAATCCAATATGGCCGCCACGGCCACCATTTTGAAAACCTATTTCAAACTTAAAGTCAAGTTCTGCTGGACCGATTGAACTGAAAGTTGGTAGGAATGATCGCCTCATGGTCCTGACAAAGTGTTGTTATTTTTCGGGTCGATCAGAAATCCAATATGGCCGCCACGGCCGCCATTTTGAAAACCTATTTCAAACTTAAAGTCAAGTTCTGCTGGACCGATTGAACTTAAAGTTTGTAGGAATGATCGACTCATGGTCCTGACAAAGTGTTGTTATTTTTCAGGTCAATCATAAATCCAATATGGCCGCCACGGCCACCATTTTGAAAACATATTTCAAACTTAAAGTCAAGTTCTGCTAGGCCGATTGAACTGAAACTTTGTAGGAATGATTGACTCATGGTCCTGACAAAGTGTTGTTATTTTTCAGGTCGATCAGAAATCCAATATGGCCACCACAGCTGCCATTTTGGTAAACTATTTCAAACTTAAAGTAAAGATCTACTTGGCCGATTGAACTGAAACTTTGTAGGAATGATCGAATCATGGTCCTGACAAAGTGTTGTTATTTTTCGGGTCAATCAGAAATACAATTTGGCTGCCATGGCCGCTATTTTGCTACTAAGTTCTAATAGGCCGATCTCACTTAAAATTGGTCTAGGAATGATCAGCTCATGGTCCTGACAAAGTTAAGTTAACATTATACTATTTTTTACTCAAATTGGTACATATTTCAACAACAAAAATAAATACTGTAGACTCAGGTGACCGTTTAGGCCCATGGGCCTCTTGTTTAAAGGAAGTTTGAATGTTTTGAATTTATGTTCCCAATTCAAAGGTTGCAGAAAAAAATCTGGACCGTCAACACAGTGAATACGGTCCATCATTATAATCAAGAAGTCCCACAATCAAATCTGATGGTGAAGATATTTTTTTGTGGAAAACAAAATTATGATAAATATATTTCTCCTTACATTATGATCCCTATTCTGAAGTAATATTAACTGTCAGGTTGGTCAGATTAAAAGAAAAGTGATAGATTGGAATTGTTACTCCTGGAGATATACCACATAAAGCACTTGGACTGCATTAACTAGCACTGTCTACCTTAAAATAGGTGATCAGGAAAAATGGGGAAAAAAACCCAAAAATCATGGCAATTAAATAATGTTTTTTTTTTTTAAATAATCATTATGAAGTTTGTGTACAGATTATTAATTTACAGTAATAGGATATTTTGGGAATGACAAGAAAAGGTCATGTGGGAAACATGTAGTTAGTAGATAGTCAAAGACTTACAGTTATCTCCCCTTGTTTAGTAAAATTACATAAAACAGCTATTAAAGCCTACATCATCTCTCTTATCCTCGAGTTTCCTGACTGGGTTTTAGGTTGATAACTATCCTAGCCTTGCTTTTAATATCAATATCTTGCACACTAAGCTTTGAGAAAATATGAAAATTAAATGAAATATATATGTTCTCTCAGTTTGCTAATAAAAGAAACAATAATTTTTGATTGATTACTTTTTAATGTGAATGTTGATGAAAATTCAAGAATTATGCAGCATCTTTTGAGCAAACTCTGCAACTGCTATAACTCTTCTTTTTTAGTTAAAAAAATAAAATTGTGGCATCTTAGAATGTAATCTGTCAAATCTCAGTTTGTTTTGGTATCAAGAGATTCTCAGACATGTATTCCATGTTTCAGGTTGAGGATACGGCTGAGGTTATAACCTTTAGTGGTTTAAGTTCTATTCAGGCCAAAAATATAATAGGTATGTTTGAGGTTTCATTTCTCAAACAATTCCATTAGGTCGGTTAGGTAAAGGTGCTTTGTTTTCTGTCACTTTTACGTACAATGTAATGTTCTCAGTAAAAAGTTTATAAAATGGCAATATTTTTACATCACAAATTCACTAACACTACCGAAATGTATCAGTTTAGGTCTTGGAACATTTGCCGTTTAATTATTAGTTAAAGTTATTATGGACATTTCGTTTTCAAATAGCTAAAAAAAATATTTTAGTTGGCAGGGAAGCTTTTGGGTCTTTGGGAAACCTGAAACACGTCTATTTATTTGAGGCCGTATATGATATATACATTGTATACCAAACATATAGAATGTCCCATATATACAACATCTCTACCAAATTTTATTTAAGATAACATTTACACTACCATACCATTTTCATTATGTAGTGTGATTTGTTATTGAAGGTTGTGACAGTTGCCTCCCTTTAAATTTATGCCTGTACGAAAAAACCTATTTTTTGTCCTTTATATTTACTGCTTTGCTTGGATGTCCCTTCCATGAACCCTTAGGCATCTCTGACAGCCTTTATAGTTTATCTGACAGCTTATTTCTGTCTTTCCTCTTCACTATCCAATTATAATTCTTTAAATTTTACCTTTAGACTCAACTCGTAAAGTACCAGGTAGAAGGTAGTGCTACTGTTTCTGAAATCATGTTAGATTTCAAAACGGCATGCTCAAAACAAGATTGTCATTTAGCACTTTATCTTTTGTATTTGTTTTAGTTACCTAGTCTTTATTATTATTTGTTTTTTTTTGTGTTTCATCAGATAGGTTGAGGGAGAAATATTTTCTTATGACGGTAAATGACAGCTATGTTAAATATAATTATAGATAGACAACAATCCAACAGTTTTGATCCGTCAATTTGACTTTGAATAAAAAAATAATGACATGAGATTCCCAGAGGAAAAAAATATCTACTTTTTTTTCATCATGAAATATTAGTGATTAAAGACATGTCACTTGTACAAATAACATACCAGATAGCAACTGCTTTTAATATTTTAACTTACTTGTGCAAGTCAATAAAAGTTTTAAACCAATTTGAAAGTTACCTTAATTAGCTGACCCTGTTAACCTCTGGCTAGCAGTTTACAGGTACATTTCGTATGCATACAATTCACTCCAAACTTAAAGAAATAAACTCAGAGGATAATGATATTTTTCTATGAAGCTATGGTAAAAGTCATGTTATATGTTAAAACAGACACATTTTATCGCAATTGAAATTAATGATTATATACAGTTGATAATTCCCAATATTTATATGTTTGTTGAAAACATACTGTTTTTATGCTACAGAATTTTAAACTAAATTTATGTGCTATTATAAAGTGTGTGTGTTGACATCTTCCCCATCTAAGTATAAATATAGCTGGGAACTCCAAATGCTTGAAAGAATGCTGTATATACCAATCCATAAGATTCTGGTTTGTTTTATCTAACTTTAAAGATAACCATGCTTTGATTGTGTACAGAGGTCCCACATATCATGTGCATTTTAATTTGTTTCTATTTTTCACACATTCTTGAATTTGAATACAGACAAGCGTGCCGATCAGTCAACCATAGAGGCTGTGACTATGTGTTGTATGGGAGCCCTCAAATGTGTCGACTCGACACAAAGTTATTGAGACTCCCGGCATTCAGTAGATAACTAAAGTGTACTTAATGAATCCGTGTCTCTTTAAAGCTTGGTCATTGAGTTATGCAAGTGGTAAATGTTCTAGAAATGATAAATTTAGTAAATTTATTAAATGCTTTAATAGCTAAATTTAACAGTTGTGTGGCTATTTCACATTGTTTTCATTATGATAATACAGATTATTGAATTCTGTTCAATTTGTTCATATTTTGTTCACCAGTAATGGATTGGGAAACAGGCTTTCATATTTAATGTCTTTAATGCATTTATAACCTGACTTACTGTATACATGTAGTGAAACACCAGTATTCTAAGTCTTGTGTATTAATAAGCTGCATAAAAGATGGTGACACTGGAATATCGTCAGACTAACGTCAGAGGAAATATCTTACTGGAATATCGTCAGACTAACGTCAGAGGAAATATCTTTTGGTCAAATAGCAAAAGTTGTTTCCATTTTAAATGAGTTTTATGAAACTCTTGACTATTCTAGAGTCCTTTCACCAATGCAATCTTATATAGAATCTTGTTTTAGAGTGTAGGTAAATGTATGTGTCTTCCCTACAGTTATTGGGAATATATATATACATAATATATTACCAGTTTATATTTTAAAATTATGGGAGAGCTGTAAGGGGGTTGGCCTTTTTGCATTTGAGAAAATGAATTGATCTGAAAGGGGAAGGTTTGGGGATGGGTGTTATATCTCCGAGACTGTTTATGTTTTAAAATTGGAGAAAAAGATAGACTTCGAGTTGACTCAAATAGCTTTTAGTTTATCAAAATTTGAACACATTTACTGCAATGGGGTGACCATTAATTATTGCTACATTTTTTCCCACCTACTTAGTATTATAACGTCCCTGTTATATTGTGTATCTGCTTAGCTTTATTGAAGTGTTTGTGTGTGTGTAAGTCTGTTTGTGCCTTATAACACTATAATCAGCAAACATTTAGACTAATGTTCGGGGAATTATTATGGGACCTGAGTGTAAAATCAATAAACGCTCCAGATAATTAGGATCGCTGTAATTTGACATTATGGAAAGGAAAAAAGGTTTGTTGGCATTTCTGTATGGATTTTCAACACAAGTTGATTGTCTTCTGGTTGTGTAGGCTTTGAGTAAAGATACTGCCATCCCTTAAATTCTCAGGAGTGGAAAATACAATCATGTGTCGGGCATAATTCTATACCTGTACATGTTAAGATATTGTATAAGAAGCGAGCAGAACAAGTTTTCTCCGATACTACACTTTAGTGCATCTTTGAGGAACACATGGTTATAAAGCGTTTTATTTCTAATATCAGATTATGATTCCATGGTTTGTTTTTGTAACCTTTTCTCAATAATTTACTGGTGTTTTCATTTTAAGTTCAGGTTTAACTTATCATTTAACTAATTCATTGTGTGACAATTAGATATTGATTTATATGAATATGAGGAATGCTCTCAAGATGTTTTATATTATATGAATCTTCATTTCATAGGAGAAACGAGGAAGTTGATGAGAAAACTTTGATTAAAAAGTTAAGGAAAAGAGTAGCTGAACTGGAGACAGAACTATCTTGTATCAGGGCCGCCAGGGTATGTAAAACGCCAACGAAAGTACACATATCTCAAAACTCTTCCATTTTCCTGAAAAGAAAATAATCAAAGAAGAAATGTATACTGTCGTTGGTAACAAATAGGAAACATAAAAAAAAAACATAATGTAAAATATCTTTGTTGTGTAAATTTGGCTGTGAAATACAATTATCAATGCTTTTGACAGTTTTTACTGAAATGTTGCTAGCAAAAGTGAAGTAAATAAGATAAACGAAACAAAATGAAACAAAATGAAACCCTATGTTCTCAGAGTGCTTAAACCTGAAACCTGCCTATTTGTTTTGGCCTTAAAACTCCTACGGTTGGTATCTCTTCACTGCAGCAGAATGTAGTTCTGAAAAATATTGAAATCCTTCATAAGCAAGTTAGCGTAGGTCCTATAGTTAACACACATTTCACAAACAGACCTTTCTGTACCTGTTGAATGGTGACATCAACTTGTGTTGTATCCAGACTATAGATCTTACATTATATATAAATATACATAATTTGCATGAAACTTGCATTTTCGATCACTACTAAGGAAAAATATATGCAAAGGTAAATATGGTGGGAAAAAAATCCCACCCTAGTTGACGGGTAAAAAGTCAACACTGGCCAATTATTGATTTTAACTGTGATGAGCAAATATTAAACTGATGAAAAAATCCCCTGAATGTGTGCATGTCATAAATGAAATACATTAAAGATAATGTAGTTTATAATACAATAAACATAATATCATGCAATAGGTGCAATGTATACAACATCATACAGTGAAAATACTTTGCAACTTATTTGGTTGTTTTTAGGAATCTGGTACAAACTTCAGCATAGAGGAGATGAACGCCAAACTGACCGACGAGGACAAAATTCTGTGCGGACAGGTGGTGTCCAGATACCTGGGTGGTCAGCTCAATGACCCAGTGACTGCAGGTCAGTGTTGACCACTGTGGGTTAAGTTTTTCTATGATATCCAGATACAAGTATTATCGAACTTGTTAATATATGTGTTGAAGTGCTTCCAGTTGGCCCTCATAGGCAATATGAATGCAAATTAACTTGAAAAATGCAAATTCAACATGAAGCACTAACTTCCTTCTTTGAAGTCATGTTTGATCTGTTGGCATTCATATCGTCTATGAATGACAACTAAAAGAAGTTCATTGCCTTAGTATTGCATCAATTTAAAGATTTTATGTCTCAACGAACAATTGTTTGGATGAGTCTGCGGGAATTAAGATTTGCAGGAGCGTATCTCATACATTCTATGTTCACAAAGTATATGAGTCACATACTTGAAATCTGTTCTTTTGTCTCACTTTATACAGAGTTATTGCCCTTTGTTCATTTTTGATACCACAGTTTTATCAGAGAGGTTTGGGACTATGCACAACTATAAATAAATTATTTATTGTGTTCCTATAAATTAAACACAAAGGAAAACAATTGAAATTGTCTTTGAGATAATGAAGCATGAAACATGGCAGCCACACATTTCCATTTTTGTAAACACAATTTTCCATGATGCTTGGGATTCTTTTTAAATGGTGCATTTCTCAACAGTTCTAAGCCTCTGATTAACCATGTATGTATTCTCTAAATGTCCATATAGGTATAACAAGTCCATATAAGTTTCGAGAATGTCTGAAGATTCTGAAGCGTGTTATCACCGATGGCAACCACAACATGCTGGACAACAATTACCCACAAATCACTGGTGTTCCGGACGGTTACCATAGCGCTGATGAAGTGGTTGGTCACCAGAGAAAGGAGAAAATATCTCGGGAACAACCTTCAAAACGCCGCACAGAACCTGAAAAGCTAGGGAGAGAGTAAGTCATAGTTATACATACATTGTACTGTAGTGATTGGCAACTAGTCAAAACTCATAACTGGTCATCTCTGAAAATCAGTTGATAGCATTCATATGTTCAATTCTGTCTGAATAATATTCACAGGATCTTTAACTTGGTGACAGATTGTTTTTGGAATTAGTACAAAACTGTATAGAGTCATGACATAAAAGTGATTTGCATTAAGTACATTTGAGACATCTGTATATTTCTATTTTAGAAAAACTGTGGACTTTCCTATCACCACAAATGCTTGGGAGAGCCAAGAGGTGAAAGCCCAGTCTAAACCTCGCCCGCCACCTCGTGTGAGACAACACCCACCCCGCAACGTCACCGACACCAATGGCACCCAGCATCCCGGTATCCCTGTCGTTGACGACCTAGCTCAAACTGACACAGAAGAAACTAAAGAAACGCCCCAAGGTAGGCTTAAACAATGGATATGTAATTCAACATCAATATATATCAAGTTTTCAAAAAAAAAACATAGTGTTTAGGAAAATGGGAAAATTGGTTTTCCAATTGTATTTAGTAAAAATATTATAAGAGCTTTCCAACGATCCAAGGAGCAGAGAAGAGAAGCAGAGAAGATCCAAGGAGCTGTGATATTTCGATTATGTAAAAAGAGAAACAATTTCATTTCATGATGCTAATAAGTATTTATATGGTCTATAAAACATTTCAAGAACTCCAGGATCCAAAGCAAATGTAAACTGTTCAAAAAATATTTATGTATAAGAAATTTCTTTACACCACTTACAGATAATTGACAATTGGGCATTGTACTATAAAGTGTTGTTACATGTACCATGTTTTGTTTGTATTCATATGGATAGAGGGGTGTGCATATGATGATTAATGAATCAGTGAATAGCAGAATGTTATGTAATTATATAATGCATGTATGTAGGTACATGAATATTGTCATGGTATTGTACTGGTATGCAAAAAAAGAATTCCTATATGAACACCGCCAGAAGAAATTGTACTCATAAGGCTTTGAAAGTAATTGCATCAGTGTCATTTTGATGTTTCTCCTCCTACCTCAAATGAGCCAGAACCTCCAGAAAAGATATATAGGTTTAGTATGCTATAATTCAATAAAGAATCTGAATTCAAATCTCTGTATTTTTGTACTTTTCCTGAGTTATCTCCCTTCAACAACCCTAATTTGAATATTTTGTTACTCTTCTTTTTATCTCAAGTACGTAGCTGATTTATTTTTTCTGTTAAATAAATATTATAGTCTTGCTTAAGATATTTTAAAGTTTTCAGAAAAACGATTAAAGTCATTTTCACTACATGCTTATCATACCTGGCCTTCTTTTTTATACTCGAAAACCAGGTAGGCTTATTTATCATTCCCAATGATTTGTGCTTGTTTTCAGAGGACAGGGTCAAACCAGAGCGGACTTTGTCAGACATGTTAGTGTCTAAATCCAGACGGAGTAAATACCAGTCTCCATTTGAGCAGAAACGTGTGAAGGAGATAAAGAAACTCAATAATAAGGTGGAGACTCTTCAGCAGGCTCAGATAGAGAAAGAGGGTGAACTCGTCGAGATGAAGATAGGACTTGCTGAACAGGAACTCAACATCGTGGAGGAGCAGATCAGGTAGACATACAATACGTCTTAATGGATTAAATTGGATTTTGTTGTAGATATATACTCCTTGATCATTAAACAGACTTGTGTTTCAGCCAAAACTATTAATATTTATTATGTAGGGGTAGTTGCCTTGGTCAGTTGTTAATGACCAGGTAGCTCAATTAGTATGAGCTTTCATCTAGAGTTTGGAGGGTCCCAAAAAGTATGAATCCCAAAATTGGTGAACCCTTGTTTCAAGCACTGCATGTTAATGCTTGGCTCTGGGGTATTACTACCAAATCAGTGTTGTAAATAGTATTTTCTTTGGGAGAGAAGTCTAAGAAAAAGGAGGGAGGAAAGTAGCAGAACTGGACTGGGTTGACCGTTGGCAACCAGATAGCTCAATTGTTAGAGCCTCGATCTGTCCAGAGTTTGGAGGGTCCAGGGTTCAAATCCCGGTCTAGCCATGCATTTCTCTTTCTCCTGTTTATACAATTAAATGAATACTTATAGGTGCATTGTGTAATATTCTTCATAGAAATAGATTTAGTATGGTGATTATCATTTTGTACTTCTGGTTTTACCAAAATAACAACACTTTTTATTTACCATTGTAGGAACAAACTTAATGTTACAAAGGAACAGGTAGACGACCAGCATGCTTACGTGGCTCAGCTGGAGACAACGGAGGCAGACCGTAGCCTTATAGAGCGGGAAAAACTGGTGGAAAAGCAGCTCCGTAGACGACAGGTACGTAACCCTGATATGGAACTACATGATGTAACACAAGATTTAATAAAAACAGGTTGTCATCATGCTCGGTAATCTGAAAGCTTTTATTTAAGGTACTCTACTGGCCCTGTCAACCACTATCCGGTACCTAAGACTGAGGTAATACAGATAGAAGGAGTGGATTGGGATACAACATAGTCTATGTTATAGTGCCATAGAGTTAATTTTCAGTATGAAATAAATCCTTGAAACGACATATTTCAAGAGAAATCATTTAAATTTTACATAAGTTGTATAAATATGAAAAAATAAGGAAATTTGGTTCTATTTACCCTTTCAACTTAAACAAAGTTATTTTAAAATGTAATCATTATTTGTATGTCCCTGATTCCTATTTAAAGATATTGTACATGAGATATCTATAATTACAGAATAAGTTTGACAAGAAACTGGAGGTTCTGGAGGCAAAGCGAAACCAGCTACAGCAACACTCGGAGGAGTTTCACCAGGAACTTGATAATGTGGAGAAACCAACAGTGAAGGAGCAGTACGGCAAGTACCGCAACCGTGACGGCAGTCTCAACACACGACAGGTGTTCGAAATGCTGAAAACAAAGGAGAAGAAACAGGAAAAGGTGAGTTCTGTTTGATCAAGCTTGTGTCTAATTGTGGAGGTGTAGTAGTGGATTCCATTTAATATCACATTGTTCAATATATCACATTTCCGATAATATCATAATCTTTTTGTTTTCCTAAAACACCAATTTCTTTCTGTTTATATATAAATTATATAATATTTATTTTGATATCATTAAATAGTTTATGGCAAGGACTCCTTAATGTAATCAAATTGTATTGCCAGTTGCCCAGCTTATCATAATTTTGACTATTCAGGTGTTTACCTTTGAAACCAAATTATGAAAATTTATTGTCAGTGTTAATTGGCCTTACAATCAAAATCGTTACGGCGTCAACAAGCCGATAGAACATTTGAGGTCGGTGTCTTCCTTGATTTCAGAACGTTTGAGGTCGGTGTCGTCCTTGATTTCAGAAGCAGTGTACAACAATGTATTTTTTTCGGAGACTTGTTGTTTGCGCGCATTGTATATCTTGGCCTTTGAAGAGCTATTGGTTAAGATTTGTTTTCATGTAAATTCACCTGGAGAGTAAATTCAGTAGTAGTCAATGCAAATTCAATATCACGCCAACGTTTTTAGACAATTGCAAAAACAAAACTGTTTATACCAGTTACTGTTCTATTTGTCAATTATAATCCTCAATACATCTCTAGCACACATGCAGGCATACACACATAGGGAGATATTAGCAAGGTGGCATAGGAATAGTAGTTAGTGCCTGATAAGGCAGCTCCTGCAAATTCCTCAAAAATGAATTAATTAATGTATATGCTAATCGTATTAATTGTATATCTATGTACTGTAAAGCACTTTAGAGTGGCTTATGTTAGCTAGATAGGGCACTATATCAAATGTTGTATATTATTATATATTATTATTATTAGTGAGTCATTTGAAACAGAAAATCAGACATAAAAGCTGGTTTTATTTTCATTGACAGGTACACACAGAGATAGATCATGAGAAAGCGTGGATTTACAATAAACATCTGGAAATGCGGGAAGCTGCAACACGGGAAAAGTTAAAGCAGTTTAAGGAAATGCTAAGAATGTCTCGCACTGCAGATGCACGAGGATATGTTAGTGAGGACGAAGGACGTCGTGGAGCCAACACAGCCCCAGGACACTTTGTAATGAACGGGGATCATCATGTACCTCAGGACAGAGAGCGTGTTAAAACGTCTGATGTTCACCCTGGGACACAGCAAACAACTCGTACACAGCACACGGCTCCATCAGAGCCACCAGGCACTCGGCAAACAACTCGTACACAGCACACGGCTCCATCAGAGCCACCAGGCACTCGGCAAACAACAAGAACCAATTTCACTACAGTACCGTATAATGATATTCCTCAGACTCGGCAGACTGTACGAACAGAGTATACTGAGAGTTCGATCAATAATAATGTGCCCGGTACCAGTCAGACAAATCGTACAACCGGAAGCCAATTCGATGAAAGGCCTGGCTCTAGTAAGAGCATGAGGTCTATACCAGATTCCGATTTTTATGCTCAAAAGAAACGCGACAAAGATCCAACATCTCGTTGGGAATCTTCTTATTCACGACCGAGCACAGCTCAAAGTGTAAGGTTTGATCTTGGCAATGGCCAAGCAGTGCTTCCAAATGGCATCCCCGTAGACAATGGTGTCTGGATGACAAACAATGGGGTCGGGATGACGGATGACTTTAAATCAAGTTCACATAAATCAGAACAAAAAAGAACTGCGTACGAACCAGAACCTGAAATTGTGAATGGTTATGAGTCAGATCCAAGAGACACTGTCATGCCTAGTGAATATGTGTATGGCATGGAGGCAGGTGATAAATTTGACGGACGGAAAATGGGTCTGTCATCACAAACCTTTGATGCAGCTTTAGCTAACATGTTAGAACGTGAGAACCAGAATGTGTATTATGACAATGATGATTATGATCAATATGCAAGGACAAGTGGACAACCTAAGACTAATTCTCGTAAACCTCGAGTACAGAGTCCCTATTATACAACACCCTACCCTCTCAGTGGTTCATCCAAACAGCCCAGGGACGTTAGACAGGGGCGGAGTCCTGTACGAAAGGGGAGGAGTCCAGACAGGAGAGGGATGAGTCAGGAGAGAGGGCGAGGCCAAGGAAGCAGGAGTCATGACCGGGCAGGAGGAAGCCGTGAACGGGCTGGAGGTAGCAGAGAACGTCAGACAAACTGGTCAGATGATGAAGCTGTGTTAGAATCACTGATGCGTGCAAAGCAACAACAGCAGAGTCGTGGGCGCAGTCGAGACCGCTCCAAATCGCAAGAAAGGTCAGAGGTCAAACATAGCCAAGAGGACAGTGACTGGGAATTATGGCCTAACAGTCGCAACACAAAGGCCTGGGGACCAGAGGCTAGGGTATGTCTGTTCTTATTACAAATATATATAGATGACTCAACTTAAGTCCTGTTATACCTAGTCTTACAGTCTATGCCATTGAATGATTCCTGTACCACCGCCATTAACTGTGATCATACAGTGTACTTTATTTTCCATATCTTGCAGAACTTCAATAAAAAAAAATAACAAAGATGAAATCAAAATCAAAATTCTCAACAGTGTTCTGAGTGTAAAATGCAATGGGCTAGACCAGGATTGGAACCCTGGACCTTTAATCATCATACTGTCCCTATAACCTACTAAGCTACCTAATCAACAGCTTTACCCTGGTCAAACTCCAGTTAATCTAAAACAAAATTAAGGGGGAGGCTACTTACATGTGAAAAACTACCATTAAAATCTCTAGTGTTTCATCTGAAATGAGACAGGGATTCCTAATAGGGTTACATGTATGGTTCAACCATTCTTAATGGGGTTATGGTTCAACTGTTCTTAATGGGGGTATACTTCAACCATTCTTTATGGGGTTATGGTTCAACTGTTCTTAATGGGGGTATACTTCAACCATTCTTTATGGGGTTATGGTTCAACTGTTCTTAATGGGGGTATACTTCAACCATTCTTTATGGGGATATGGTTGAACCGTTTTTCATACCTAATCAAACTCACCTCCACATTTTAAGGAAAAAAGATATTATTGCAGATTTCCTAGTTTTTTTCTTTATTTCATTCCATATTAAATGAGCAAAAAAAATGTAACGTAAAATAATCCAGGTTTTAACATCCAATTGTCATGTATTGTATATTTTCGTATAAGCCCATGATCAGCTTTGAGTAAGTCTGAGATATGTATTTATCATGGGAAGATCTTGCCTTTATTTCTTTGACAGTATATCAAATAAACATTAAAATGTCGAATTCTCATTCGTTTCCTGTATTAATGTCCTTGATTGTTGTAATGATGTTGTGTTTCTAGCAAGCGTCGATCCACGCCAAGCTTGGGATGCAGACGCCAGAGAAGAAGCAGAGACGAAAACCAAGGAAACGAACCAAAGGTATTGTACTGTGGTACTAAAATGGTAAATTATTTAGGGTTAAGATCCTTGGAATTTGTTTTTCTTGCAGTTAATTAAATAACCACCTTCTTAACCTAATAATGACACAACTATTCTTGCATTAATTTGTGAAGAAAATTAATTAATTCCACCTTTGTTAACGTCTCAAATTTAAACATGTTTTTTTGTAAACTTAACCAGCAGGGACAGTATATACATTATACGCCCCTGACTTAACCTATATACTTGTCTTATGATTGCCAGCTAAGCGCACCCTTGATGAGAACTTGGCTGTGTACGATGAGAGTAATCTCCCTGGAGGTAAGAAAGGCCAGCTGGTATGGGAGGAGGCCCCAGTGTTGTCCCAGGTTACGGCGCTGCCCGAGGAGAAGGCAGAGGATGTGTTCATGACAAAAGTGCAGGAGCAGAAGGATCGCGTCAGTAAGATACGAAAGGCCCGTGCCTCCGCGGAAATCATACAGCGCACCTGGAGAAGATTTGCTGCCAAGAAAAAGGTGCAAAAAATGAGAAAAGCAGTTAGGACATAGGAGTTAATTGAATCTGCAATGTGATTTTATGGACAAGATAACTAGAAATGACAAGGTTCATTGTGAGCAAAACATTGATCCATTTATTTTTTACCCTGTTTGAATCAAGTGCCTTTTGATTTTGGAAAAAAATCCAATCTTCTTTTAGTTACCTTTTAATGTTGAACCATTTGAACAAGAGGATGGTAACATTGTGATGTGTGTATATGGTGCTGTGAGGAACGTGACATAAAAGGGGGAGACAACCTAGCTATCAGAATCTCGTGATATAAACTTGATAGTGTTGGTAGTTACTGTGTGTATTTGCTGCATTTACTTGTACATTCTTTGTGCGTGATATTTAAGTGCCTCTATCATTGTAGGAACATGATAAGAAACTTGGACGGTTATTGTTTAGTCCCCACTAATATTTCATATGAGATTTTCTATGAATATTTTGAAAGTGCCTGCCAAATAGAAAGCCATTTCCGTCCTATGGCAAATGACAATCGAAAACCAGTTGGTATTTCTGTCGAAGTATGAATTTGATGTAAATGACATAATTGATCCCTGATTATAAGTATGGCAAAAAAAGAGTTAAACATTTTCTGATGAGAAAACATATTTGACAAGTGTGATCAGAATCCACTATTAATGCTGTATACCGGGATAGCTTCAGTGCAGTTCAATTTTCCTTTTTTAACCGCAGTAATGAAGGCAAATTTATCGTTACAGCGAATATTAGCAAACAACATAAAAAAAACATAGTAATTAAATATTAAGGGCAAAGTTAACACTGGGTGAATATGGATTATTCTGGCAAGGGGCGAAAGATTTTACTGGGCGTAAATGTCCCAGTATGCAGTACCACTTATACATATGCATTAAGACACGCGTAACCCGTGTGTAACACTGCTATAGGATACGTGTTCCTTGTATAACCACATTCAGTGACCGAGACCTCTATTAGGGGTACTGCATTTCTCTGAGAAGTGCACAAAAATAAATCTCATTTAACAAATTTATATTCAGTGTCACATGACCATAATGTGTTGCATCAAAGCCCAAATTGTTAGTAACATCAAGCTAAGAGATCTCATTGTATAAACAAATATACATACCAGTAATTTTTCAACTGTCAATCAAATTGACTTTTCTTTTCTTTTACATGTATGTACATGGTTTTAATTGTGTTGCCATTATAATTATTGACCATTGAGTTAAACTGTTCAGATTTTCATTTTTAGATTTTACTGTTTATTGTCACTTAGAGAGAATCTAATGTAGATTTGTGGTATTGTCTGTGATATTTTGTAGGATATATATATTAGATAAAGAAATCACCTTTCTCAAATATTTACCTTTTAGATACATTTTTCATACATATCAGATATTGTTGACTTGATTTTTATATATATTTTATAGGAATACTAATATATTGATGAGTTAATATTTATTAATAGCCAAATGCCACCCTATTTAAATTAATGTATTTATATATACATTACATTCATGTCTTTAGTGCCTGTCCATTAAGTTTACATGTTACCTTATATATAAGGTATAAGACGTGTGTTTGTGTTAGAGTTATCTTCCTTAACGTATTGAGTCAAAAGCCATGCTTTAATTTTATAATGTATACAGTGTCAGATGTTTGACATCATCGACAATTTTGAAAACCCACTGTCCTCTATGAATTTTGCATCGTTTAGTTTATGATATAAACACATATTGGCCAAGTTCAAGATAGGTAGTGAACAGTGTTCACTATAGCTACAATAAATGTTTATGATGCCACATTATTTCCATGCCTGAATACCTATAAGCTACCTTGACAGCCATTTTCAATTTGATAGACACTTTCATGATATCGATGCTTCAAACTTTCCAAAGTCTTTCGTTTAGGATGCATGCCTAATTCTGACATTTAATCTGTTAACTGTATTACAGTTGCATCCATTTCAACTGAATTAGTTTCAGATAAATAGTAAGGTTTAATTTAGCAGTTCATGATTTGTGTAAAGTGATCTTCATAAACAAAATATTTTAAAGTTGGAACTCTTTTTGAAAGGAAATACATATCCCAGGAATGAAGTCCTTAACCTGAAGGTACATTATTTGTGATGTTTTAATGATAATGTGTCTTACTTGTCCATGACATGTACATTTCATCATGATTCCCGGTAACTTCTGTTAATAATTGTGACAGCTCCATAGATTTGTTTTTAATAGAAATATAATTTTTGATAAAACAACTACAATATAAGGATATTAATGCCTAATTGTAATTTTCATGATTGTACAAACCCCTGTTGCTTTCAAACATGATATGATGATGATGTGCATCATTGCATCTTGGAGAAGTTTTTACAATGAAATATGGTTTATTTACCAAAGTAAAGAGCTAGTGCTTTAGTTTGAATATCAATGCAACTTCATCATGTTGGAGGTTTTCTTTTTCATTCCTGTTACATTTTGAATGTGTTGCTTACCAGTTACAGAGTTTAACCCGATTTTGTGGGGAATAAGTACCAAATGTAAGGTTAGAATGAACACTAGTGATATAAAATCATATTAATGCCAGCTTAACATCAGAGCAAGATTTCAAAATTACATATCAATCCAGAAATTTACTGTTTTCAGTAATGATATACATGTACTTATTGTCTATGAAAGATCAATAAAGATTTTGTGGGCATTGGCATTATTTATTGTGACAAATTAAAGATTTGTGTGAAGACATGCAAGTGTGTATGGTAAATGTTTTAAATTTGATTTGTGTGAAGACATACAAGTGTGTATGGTAAATGTTTTAAATTTGATTTGTGTGAAGACATACAAGTGTGTATGGTAAATGTTTTAAATTTGATTTGTGTGAAGACATACAAGTGTGTATGGTAAATGTTTTAAATTTGATTTGTGTGAAGACATACAAGTGTGTATGGTAAATGTTTTAAATTTGATTTGTGTGAAGACATACAAGTGTGTATGGTAAATGTTTTAAATTTGATTTGTGTGAAGACATACAAGTGTGTATGGTAAATGTTTTAAATTTGATTTGTGTGAAGACATACAAGTGTGTATGGTAAATGTTTTAAATTTGATTTGTGTGAAGACATACAAGTGTGTATGGTAAATGTTTTAAATTTGATTTATGTGCACAATGATAGGGATTTGAACGTTAACGGGGTCCATGAAATTGAGAATCTTACTGAAAATAGGAAATATCTGGTACAGCTGTTAGCAATAACAGAATGTGAGTTTTTTATGTTTTTTATTATTATCCAATGCTGCATATTTGATGTTCCATTCTATCTCCAATAAAGGCAAAACAAAAATTGTTGGGGAAGTCAATGAAAAATTCAATTTTGACAATTGGGAAATTTGCTTGAACTCAGAATGGATATGGATCCTTTATTTGGACCCGTAACAACGCGAGGGAAAACCTATTGATGATCAAATATAATGCAGACTATTTAATGATACGCCCTGTGCCTGAACAGACTTGCCTACTAAACAGCATTCCTATGTTGATGTGTTAATTTATTATCTGTTAATGAGTTTAACTTATGAGATTAGTTTCAATTGAGGTCACAGTGAATATTTATAGACTAGCAAATGTCATAGCAAATTCATAGAAACGGTTGTAAATAGTTTTTTAGAGTAGTGCTATTTAAAGTTACATTTGTACATACATGTACATGTATATTGATCAAAAAAATATCAGAATCCTTTTTAAGTGGAAGATACATAATTTAATAAAAGCAAACACTTGTATTAAGCCAGTCCTCATTACTAAAGTAAATATAACCACTAATTAGGTTGTCTCAACTAGTGTTAAAATTCTATATAAAATTGTTCCACCAGTACTCCTAAAGCTTAGAAAAGTGGCATGGTTGCTTGATCAAAGATGAAATAATTGAAATCTCCAGAATCAGCTCTTTTGAGACCATTCAACATATGTATTCAAGGTTTATATTTAATTGTCAATTCTAAACAAAACAGAGGCTGTTTCAATTTCTTGTCCGTCATATTTTTTAAACGATCAACAGAATATCCCAATTTTAGTACACTTTAAAACGTTTTGTAGAGTTCATGTAGTTCATGTAGTTCATATAGCGATGACGCCGATTGAAAGCTGTGAGCTTCTTATGGCGCGTTTGAATATATGTTAAAATACTTGTTAAAAAAAAAAACATGGGTCTTCAGTAATGTCATGAATAAGATTGTGACATTGTTGTTGATATGACATCATTTAATTGTTTCAGGTCTTTTTTTGGTCAGTAAAGATTATAAATAGATAAAATCAAAATATGTACCTTCTTTTATGTGTCATTCTATGTTTATTGTCTCTTCAGCATTATGCTGTACTAGAAACAGACCTCGTTATATTCTGTGGTATAAATCACTTCACCCCTAACAGGTTTTTCATGAAACCATTCAGATTGGGTTAGATGATACTGCTTGATCATTTTGAATTAATTATGTACACTGTATTGACAACTTTGATGCAGATGAGTAGTTATTTTACTGATATTGTGACAGATATCATTTTGAAATTTATTTTTTATGCATATTAAAAAAAAAATTGATGCCAAAATAAATGTTGAGTTTTTTGTTGTTAAGTCTATCATCATTAGATGGTTGGTTTTTCCTCATCACTTTTCGACATTTGTTAATCCATCCTCTATAAATAATTTGTCGAAAAGGCTGGTTTACACCTCTCTTTATATTATGTCATATCTTCTGTACCAGTTGACGATTAAATTTGAAAATTCATATTTTGATACTTCTTTAATCCCAGTACATGAATATAACAACTAATTATAAATCCCTGATGAGGCTGGAAATGACCCGTACCACATCTAGTCCTTCTGCCATCACTTACTGATCAACAGAGTATCACTTTGTGGTGGAATATCTCTTTGGTCAAGGTAACAGATATTGACTTCCATATCGTTTCAACAGTGAACAGTGCATAATAATAAGATTATGAAGCATATGTTGTTAGTCGAGGTCTTAAAAGGTCAAATTTCCTATAAAAACCAGGGTACATATTGCATCAAATTATGGGAGTAACATTGTTGAAATAGATGGGGTTTGCTGCCTGGTATAATACAATGTCATCTCGTAAAAACTAATATCTATGATAAACATTTGTCACAAAATTTGAAGCAATAAAGCAGCTCAAGATTTACAGTCTGTCAACGGTGATTGTGACAAATGTAAAGGTCTATTCTAGGGTTCCATTCCCTGTAAGGAGAAAAAAGAATCGAGTCACCAGTCCTACCACATTGGTTTTACTCAGGTTTCCTCTTGCATCAAGTCCCCTAGGCAGTACTGTGTGGGCATACAAGGGTGATTATAGTTTCATTGTTGTAGTATGAAATGAAGTACTGGTAACATAGGTGACTAAAAGAGTCTTCCCCTACCCTGAAGTTGTTAGAGAAATCTCCAACTGGAAGGAGGCTTTATTCTGGTTGGCCAACACAAGGATTAGACAACCAAATCACCCTGATGGTGGAGATTTCTGTTACCGATTGGGGATGATTATGTTCCTCACATCCTACTTATTCGAGTCACAACTCTACTTACAGCAGTCTTGCATGTTTGAATATTGACATTAACTTTTGATGATGTTAAAGTTCTGAACAGGGCTATCTTTACCTAGGAGGTGACAACTTGATCTTTCTACGGAAAAATGGGTAGCTGCAGCTGTGATGATTGGGAGCAAGGATTATCATTGATTCCTGTTATATGGGAGGTTAGGTGGAACATACAGATATTCTCAGATGGAATGTCTTCTGTTGAACCTCTGCCCAGTTAGTTTAAAACAAAACATGAACAATGTATAGATTTAATACAATATTTAATCTCAAATAAACGATATACAAAATGTACTTATTTCCTGAGACAAAAATAGACACTGGCCGGAGGATTAGAAAGGGAAAAATACATTTCCAGAGTAAACAGGAAACTTTTTATAACTTAAAACTTATATGAAATATCGCTGGAATAGTTAACGTATTATAAATGTTGTACATGTATATCAAAATTATGAAAAACATGGAATATTTTGGTCCGAGAGGTATACTATCTAAAGAAAATATTTGATAAATTTATCCCAATGATAGTTTATTGTTTATGTCACACAAGGAATGCTATTTAGATCTTGAAGAGTTATTTCCACTTTAGGAAAACAAATACATACATTGATCACACTTTGTCTGACACTATAACGATATCTACTTACACAAACAACATCTACACATCTTAGTGATGTCTATATTAATAGAGATTCATAATTTTTTGCAACAAAAGTAAACAATCTTATTAGAATACTTACTGTAAATGGTTCAATTTTCTTGGTGTACTTATATTTACCCCGTAATTACTTTATTCATTTCAAAATGGAGTTGTTTATTAATAAACTAATGTAAAGATAGCAATAATATTTTCTGTAATTTTTAACAAAGAAAAAAATTAACAGACACACTAGAAAATGCTTGTGAACTGATAGATGATTGGTCAATGCTGATACATATACGTTGGCTCTGATCGATCAATGCTATTTATTTATAAGCATTATGGTGATTGGCTGTTTAGTCCTCCAGGGTTTCTTTATCAAACTGGTACTCTCCCAAGCCTGGTCCAACCTTCTTCAGCACCGAGATGTAATCAGACAGTTGTTTGATGGCTTCGACTTGTTCGTTCAGGAATGTTCCCTCAATAAAATCAGATAGCTGTAACATTTAAACAAAAGTTATGACCATGCATATTATCAGATAGAAAGTATCAGCAAGAGGCCTAAAGGGCCTGTATCGCTAACTGGATAATAAAGCAATTAAAGCAAAAGGTTCTCAATGAAAGTAGTATGGCAAATAAGATCTTAGGGATAGGACCAATCCTACAAGCATATGTGTATACAAATCTTCATGCTCAGCAATTGTATATCTTAAAGGTATTCTAGGATGGGGATCTCAAAGGTATCCATGTTATGACCAAGGGACCAAGTCCCTCAGGGTGTTGCCATACCCCAGAGTCAATTCTGATGTCAGGTCTTTTCATCTGTTTATGCCCAGCAATTGTATATATGAATAAAGGGTGGGATCTGAACAGTTTCAAAGTTATTACCAACAAACAAGTCCCTAGGGGTGTGGCCAGACCCCAGGTTCAATTTTAATATCATCATTACTGTATCTGTCACTGTGTCCCCTAGCAATTGACTAAAATAACTTCATTTATTTTGTATTAACAAGGTAAGGGAGTAATACAGAGTCCACAACTTCAGACAAATAAAAATGCACAAAGGGACATAACTCTTTGTATAGAGGAGCACAAGACCAAATTAATTTCGGTACAAGACACTTTGTCATCTTAAGAGGTACTTGATACAAAATTGTCTGTTGTAAGTGACTGAGTATATGGGGAAAAGGTTTGAAACGACAAGCAAAGGGCCATAACTCTTTTTACAGTTTAGCACATTTACATAAATTACATTTTCATCTTATCAGATGCCAGAAGATAATGTGAAATAAAACCAAATGCAACATTTAATCACAGTAAATGTTTTTTCAGTGACAACAGCAAAACAGCTGTTTGAAAGTCTTCTTAAGACTGCAGGTGTCTAGAGGTATAACCATGGAATCAAAGGAGTAGAATGTGAAGCAGAGAGACTACAGTCAATTGGGTAAATGTGAGGTTTGCAAGAAATTATTAATCCTGATCCTACCTGTGGATCGCCGTGGGAGTTAGCCACACCATGAAGATCCAGAAGGGACTGATTAACATTCTTCTCCAGTGACAGTGCTGTCTGCATGGCTTCAAGTCCACTTCCCCACTCGTCACGGTCAGGTTTCTACAAAACAGCCACACAGAAAATAACTACCATTACAGTGTATAACATTCTGTCAGCTTAACAAACAAGGCCAAACAAAATCCTCGTTTCCACTTTCCTAATTTATTGTTAGTAACCGGTGTTGTTTCTTATTGCTAAATAGACAGGCACTGTTAAAATCTGAAACACTGTTTCTTGCATAATGACTCTCCAAAATAAATTACTAAACGATTATAGCTTATTTATTACCAACTATATCCTTTTTCATATCAGGTCTCCTTTATTAGTTTTTTTAATTGATTTGTAAAATAACAATTGGATACCACAAAAATGTCATCATAAACTTAGTTCTGTAGTCTCAAATCCAGTCCCCACCTTAAAAGCCAGTCAGTAAATTGAAGAGATGACCAACACTGCAGTTTTTCAAATGCAATTGTGGACAATTCCACAAGTCTGTTACTCAGGGCTAGTAGATTTGATGTCAGAACTGTGGACGATTCCACAAGTCTGTTACTTAGGGCTAGTAGATTTGATGTCAGAACTGTGGACGATTCCACAAGTCTGTTACTCAGGGCTAGTAGATTTGATGTCAGAACTGTGGACGATTCCACAAGTCTGTTACTCAGGGCTAGTAGATTTGATGTCAGAACTGTGGACGATTCCACAAGTCTGTTACTCAGGGCTAGTAGATTTGATGTCAGAACTGTGGACGATTCCACAAGTCTGTTACTCAGGGCTAGTAGATTTGATGTCAGAACTGTGGACGATTCCACAAGTCTGTTACTCAGGGCTAGTAGATTTGATGTCAGAACTGTGGACGATTCCACAAGTCTGTTACTCAGGGCTAGTAGATTTGATGTCAGAACTGTGGACGATTCCACAAGTCTGTTACTCAGGGCTAGTAGATTTGATGTCAGAACTGTGGACGATTCCACAAGTCTGTTACTCAGGGCTAGTAGATTTGATGTCAGAACTGTGGACGATTCCACAAGTCTGTTACTCAGGGCTAGTAGATTTGATGTCAGAACTGTGGACGATTCCACAAGTCTGTTACTCAGGGCTAGTAGATTTGATGTCAGAACTGTGGACGATTCCACAAGTCTGTTACTCAGGGCTAGTAGATTTGATGTCAGAACTGTGGACGATTCCACAAGTCTGTTACTCAGGGCTAGTAGATTTGATGTCAGAACTGTGGACGATTCCACAAGTCTGTTACTCAGGGCTAGTAGATTTGATGTCAGAACTGTGGACGATTCCACAAGTCTGTTACTCAGGGCTAGTAGATTTCATGTCAGAACTGTGGTCGATTCCACAAGTCTGTTACTCAGGGCTAGTAGATTTGATGTCAGAATTAATATTAACATAAAAATACCTACATTATAACAATTCAGCTTGAGTAAAGATTCTATATTTACAGTGATGTTCTGAAGTACAATGCGGCCTCCTCTCTTGTTCTGGTACTTCATTAGCTTTTCGGCATGCTCTCGTTCCTCGTCAGAAGACTTTTTGAAAAATTTGCTGAACCCTGGTAGTGCCACATCATCTCGGTCAAAGTAAAGACACTGAAAATATGAAACAATGTTTGGTGAGCAGCAGAAGTGATTTTGAGTAGGAATGAAACTGTCAGTAAATTTGTCATTCAATTCAACATAAGCTCAGTCTCACTGACCTAGTTTATAAGCTTGTTGCTGACTTGTGTTGGTCAGTTGACAATCATAAATGAAATCAGTATAACTAAACTCATAATCATTGAATGATCAACAGGATTAATAATATGCTATCCTTGCATGTATTATTTGATATTCTACCATATCTGCAATGTAACGATTCTTTTATTTGGTTAATAAGTAAGTATTGTCGGCATGCATTATTCTCCAAAACAATCCCATGAATATGTACCGCTCTCTCAAACATCAACTGTACTGCAAATGTAAACAGGCAAGGTATGGGACTGGTTTCCCTCATTAAGTGAGAATACATGCTTTCATTTTTGTATGTTAATGAATATTTGCTAAACAAGTAGACAAGAACATTTCTACTAAACCTTTAAATCTACTAAAAAGTTGTCAGAATGATAGGTCAAACCTACTAATCAATGAAGGTCACCTGAAATAGTGTTTGTATGCTTAAATCAGTCAAATGTTGATTTCATGTATTGATCAATGAAGAGTGATGTTGATCAATTGACGATTTTCATTGGTGACTCTTAATAAAGGCTGCAGATTTTCAGACCCAAAATTGGAAATAGCCAAGGTCTTTCGTTGATGCCAGTTATGAAAGCTGGGACTTTCACCATCCTTAAAAATATTTCACTCATCTTGCCCCGGGGAAGGTTCACATTCAGTCCGAGTGAGTGAGCAGGTAAAATGTAACTTCTTTAGTCCTTGTATGTTTATCATTCCATGTATTTAAAGATGTACAAGAATCAATAAATGGACAACTTTTTGAAATTTCCAAGGGGGACTTCAATCTGCATGCTCCTGATCAAAATCAAAAAATTATTGAAATGCATGTATAAACCCATAGAGACAAAATAAGACTTTTTTGTCCAACATTGTCTCAACCTTGTTATATATGTGTATATATATTTGTAGCTGAACTGGACTGGGTCGATCATTGGCGATCAGGAGCTCAATTGGTGGAGCGTCTGTCTCGAGTCTGGAGGGTCCTCGGTTCAAACCTTGGGCTGGCCTACATTTTTCCTCTCCTGTAACAGTGGTCAATGTGACCAACGTTAACCCTTAATTTTTCCAAGCATTAGTTGTATGCTTGGCAAGGGGAATTACCCAAACCTGGGTCGTAAATAGTTGTGTCTTCGGAGACAAAGTCTTAGGAGCGAGCTCGAGGAATGTAGTCTAACTTGGAGGGTTTGGAGCCGGTCCCAGGTTTCAAACTCCGGCCTGGCTGTTGCATTTCTCTTCTCCTGTTACACAACATTAGCAATTCCACCACATGTCATATGTTCCTTTCTTCTTAATTAAACTCGTATACTGAAACGAATTCAGGTCATGGACTATTTTGTTCATGAAACTTATTGAATTGATTCTGCATGAAAATATTTATTTAGGAGCTACATGTATGTGTGACTGTCACGTAGGATATATATCTGTCCACACTTGTACCGAATAACATAATGACTGAAGACATAAACAAACCAATATATTATACAACTAATAATGTTTGTTTAATAATATTCAAACCCTTTGTCTATTTCTCAAACGTTACTCGGTACAATTTAATATTATATTGCAAAAACAAATACTTCAGGTAAGCTTTATGTTAATATTGACATTAGATTATGTAGGCACATATAACTGTTGTTTTTTAAGAAAAGGAGTATTTGAAAGGTAACTAAAGAAAATCTTATTAATTACGTAACCTACCATGGACTGATACGTGTAGCTTGCATAAAGCTCCAAATTTATCTGTTTGTTGATGCTAGCTTCACTTTCTGAATGGAAATTTTGTCTTGGTTGAGTCTGTGCCATCTCGAAGAAAACAGAAATTTCAAATGTCGAGTAATTTGTCGTTTTTATCTGTACGTTCACTGACGCAGCGAGACAAAATTGACAACAAAATAAAAAGGAAGTCTCTAAGGCATTCGGCTAACCTCGGCCGATTCCGGCGAATCAAGTCGTTCCGGCCTCACCGGTCCGGCCCCTAGTAGTTCCGGCCTCTACCCGGTCCGTCCTTAGTAGTTCCGGCCCCAAAGTCGTTCCGCCCCTTTTAGTAGTTCCGGCCCCACTGTAGCGTTTTCCTTCACATATTACCATTGAATTATGATTCATAGTGTAAATGTAAAAATAAAGAAAATGTAATACTTAGTTACCAAGTGGTAGGTGCAATTTCTTAAATAACATGTGAAAATATATTATGTAATTTATGTTATTTAAGAAATTGGCGACGAATTCCATTATCTGTACACACTAACCATTACTCAATAGTAGACGAAAACATATGTCCAGATACTATTATGAAAGACCATACACATTTGACTTTCATAAATTAATCAATTATGTAACACAACATGAATTGACATCATTGGCTAAATTCATTACCGATATTAATGTGATCATTAATTCACAATACTAATGTCCATCCAAGGTTTAAGGTTTAACAATTACAATCCATATATAAGTAATGATAAATATATCTAATAAATATACCTAATACGTACAGAATGATAAAATATATCTCACAATTAAAACTAACATATAAGTAATGGTTCAATATATCTAACATAATATATCTAATACTTATAGTCGATATATACGTAATGATGACATATACATAACAATTATAACTAAAATATGTACGTAATGATAAAATATATCTAATAATTATAATTCATATATAAGTAATGATAAAATAATATTATATCAAATAGTTATAACTAAAATATGTACGTAATGAAAATATATCTAATGACTAAAATCCATATACATACGTGATGATATATATAACTAATATATAACGGGACGTAATGATAAAATATATATAACAACTATAACTAATATATAACGGGACGTAATGATAAAATATATATAACAACTATAACT